CATTAAAATATATATATATATATATATATATATATATATATATATATATATATATATATGTATATATATGTGTGTATGTATATATGTGTATATATATATGTACATATCTATCTATCTATCTATCTATCTATCTATATATATATATATATATATATATATATATATATATATATATATATATATATATATATATATATATATATATATATGTGCAAATTTAAAAGAAGAAAAAGAATACAAATGTTCATAACATTAGCTTAGAAAAGGCACAATACAATAGTGGAACAATATATATATATATGTGTTTGTTTATATATATATATATATATATATATATATATATATATATCCTGTTTATACGTTATTTTTATAGATATAGAGTTGCAGGCTCGATTCCTGTTGGAGGGCATTCATATTTCCTAAGAAATTTTTCGAATACTCAGGACGGTAAATGCAATTAATACTGTTCTATGTGTATCTTAATAACAGATCCTTTACTCAAATAATTTTTATAAATATACATTATGTAATTTTTGTTTTTGTTTTTATAAAGACGACTGACAAGGGACTGCAATGAAGCTTTTTCTCCAATTTTCCTTGTGTTCGTTTTCTTTCTTGGACATAAAGTGTGTAAAAACTGTCCAAATGTTCTATACATCCGAGCACTTTAGGTTATTCTGCTCGCCATTATTAAAAATGTCCATTATTTTAATTCCTAACTGAATATGTAGATTTATATATATATATAGTGATGTTTTTTGTTGTTTTTTTTTCCAAACGCGGTCAGTATAATTAAAAACTATTGTAAAATAAAATTAAAAAAATTCTCATTAGTATAGATACACATATAATAAAAACATTCTTTTTAACAATTTCAGATTAAAGTAAAAATTCTTGTTTTCTTTTTAAATTATTTCACTCTAATCAGACTGAAATAATTAAAAAAGAAAACAAGAATTTTCCATTTGTAAGGAAGAAGTTACATTCAGTTTGCTCCTCCCCAAACCAGAGAACCGTTATTTATGTATCAAACTCCCAGATGAGTATTTTCCAATCTTAAACTTAAGGGTCGATCGCTAACTATCCCCTTTATCCTGATAATCTTCACTTCAATCTACCCCTGCTTGCATTAATATGACACAGGTAAACATTATCCTTTTTTCTTAAAGAATTTCACATACTTTAAACCAAAACAAGAGCTTTGCCGCCTTATCTGGGCTGGAGCTACTCAATCCGTCTCTTTCCAGCCTTGATAGATTTCAAAATCATTTACTCGCCCCGCCTCGATGGGGGATAACTTATTTTCTATCCCTAAACGTCTTTTCGACCGACGCAGCATGACAAGCCTATCGCTAGTCTATCGCTATTTCCATGGCAAATGTTCCGATGAACTCTTCTCTTGTATTTCAAACTTTTACAGCAAGAACTCACCATGCTACGAATACGATTTAATACCGATTGAATACAGTAATTGTAGCACAAGGCGGGAAAAAAAGAGAAAGATGGGTCAAGGCTGGTCGAAACTATTTTACACCTAGTTAATCAGATTCAGAACCCATTCATTCGTTACAATTTACTCATTCACCATAAGAAGCTATTCGTCAGTATGTACAATTCTATAAAATTTCGATAAATGTTATGAAATTGGGCGGAAGTGATTGCCCCGAAAACAAACTGAAAAAAAGAAAGATCTTAGTAAGAACCGTCCATTCCTCAAAAAATAACTCTCACCATGCTATGTCTACTTGTTCTCCACATTCCATTTGTAAGGAGGAAGTTTAATTCAGTCGGCTCCTCCCCAACCCCGAGAACCGTTATTTATGGATCAAACTCCCAGATGAGTATTTTCCTAAAACATAAAGGTCGAACGCTATCTATCCCCTTTATGCTGATAATCTTCACTTCCTTCTACCCCCGCTTGCATTAATATGACGCACTTAATTCAGTGTACCTCTACCTTGAGTAGTTCCTGAGCCTTATATTGGGTGAACTTTAACGTATTCATTCTACGTTCTTTTACATTCATATCACGCACATTATTCAGTAACGCTCTGCCTTGTGTGGCTTTTGAGCCTTATATTGGGTAACTCTAACGTATTCATTCTGCCTTTTCTTATATTCATATCACGCACATTATTCAGTAACGCTCTGCATTGAGTTGTTCTTGAGCCTTATATTGGGTGAACTCTATCGTATTCATTCTGCCTTCTCTTATATTCATAACACACACCGCATTCAGTAACGCTCTGCCTTGAGTGACTCTTCAGCCTTATATTGGGTGAACTCTAACGTATTCATTCTACTTTCTCTTACATTCATACCACGTACCGCATTCAGTAACACTCTGCCTTGAGAGACTCTTGAGCCTTACGTTGGGTGAACTCTAACGTATTCATTCTACCTTCTCTTATATTCATACCACGTACCGCATTCAGTAACGCTCTGCCTTGAGAGACTCCTGAGCCTTACATTGGGTGAACTCTAACGTATTCATTCTACCTTCTCTTATATTCATACCACGTACCGCATTCAGTAACGCTCTGCCTTGAGTGTCTTTTGAGGTTTGTTTTATGTGTATCTTAATAATTAAAAATAAAGTCATTATTTTCGGCTAATACATCACCACGAGTGAAAAGCTGCTGGTGGGTGGATGCTTTTATCAAGACACCATCTCCAGGTAGATTGCCAACCGGGACTAAAGAGTTTCTACCTGCTGATTAGTTGAGAACTTGGGATTTCGTGCTAACACAGCCATCGACTACGTCCGGACAGCTTCGTCTACTCAATTCTATCCATAAGGCTTGAGTCACCTCCTACACAAATCGGCCTTAGTGTCATTCGAAGACCGAGTTTCACGATCGGGATACTAACGCTCTAAACCTGTCTGTCGTATCCATCTTTACTTCAAGGCGCACCCGTGGAATAAATAAAAAGCCTGGGCGCACTTGAAATTTTATTAAGGAGAAATTAATCATGAAGGACTTTAAAAGTTTGATCTGTCATCTACTATAGTAGTCTCAAGAATATTGCATTTAATGATTGCCAATTTTGTTTAGCATCCCCTAAGATGATTAGCGGCACAGTTTTCATTTAAAGCCATTCATGAAGAATCTTAATTTTTTTAGAGAGGCTAATGATGACTGATTAAAAAGAGCAAAAAGGAAAGGATTATCCATTCCTTCTTAATGATTAACGAATTTAGCATCCAGTTTAAAACATCTACTGACAAAGACTTCACCTAGACATTGACGCCACGTGCTAGGTGTCTCCAGCTTTTAAAAAATAAATATTTTTTTTTAAATCTAAAAATAATTAATGAATTACAATTCTTGAGGCGCACCTGGCTACCTTTCAGGTTTCATAAGTGAGCCAGGGCTCACCGGTTGAGAAACGCTGTTTTAGACTATTGCTACCAGGTTTAAAAGTAAGAGAAATAAGATGAAAGAAACACTAACAGAAAAATCTACAATAACTTCATCTCAGAAATGTAGAATATGTTAAACCATTATTTCTCAATCATTTTTTTTTTTAATTCAGGGCGCACTTGTAGAATAACTAAACGTCGGGGTGCACTTTAAATTTTAATAAGGAAAAATTGTCATGGAATTTGAATATATGAAATTTCAGCTTAGAAAAAAAAAGAAGATTAGCTGTAGATTTTCATTTAAAGGAATTTATGAAGAATTTGTTATTTTTTTTTTTTAGAATGACCAAAACTGACTGATTTACTTCCCTTGAGAGCGGCAAAGGGTAAATGTTAGGCTTATATGTTATTGATATGCTTTGAGAAAGGCAAAAGGGAAAGTATTATCCACTCCTTCTTCACTGACAGGACCCAAAGAGTTGTGAGTTCAATACCTAGTTAAGGCAGTGGAGAACTTGGAGAGGGGAATTAACAGGTGATAACTGATAACGGACACCCATTAGACATGGCACGTGCAACTAGAACAGTCTACCCCAGCGAGCGAAATAAAGGGTTCAGTTCGACATTCCAACCACCTGAAGAAGGCCGGAGCGTACATCGGCCGAAACGTTGTGATAAATATGTCAACACAAAGATGGGGATGATAGTCCTAATAATGTAAATAGTGTACATAATACCTCGTCTCAGAAATATAGACAGATAATCATGCTTGTCTCGCACCTCGTTAGTACGCACGACCGTTACGCCCTGCCAATATCTCATAAATAATGGACTATTCCGTTTTGATCGCGTGGAAAGAGGGGGAAAGACACTACTTGCTTTCAATGAGAAAATGAATGAAAAAAACAAGGGAAAAATTAATTTTTAACAGGTGTTTCAATGAAATGAAGAAGCTGTCAATATCAAATCTTTTCATTTGTACCCCCTTACTTCTTAAAATAACGACCAGCATTCAGATTTATGATTGTTATTGCAATATTTTGGTAAAATTGTTCAGCTCAAATATTTAACGCTGCGATAGGGGAATTTCTATAGATATTTTATTGTCATAGAACTCGCCATGCACTTATTCAGTCGTTAACTTAAGAATTAAGTTTCGTCGGAATATTAAAACAGGAAAACCGTGAAATTTTCACGAGTTAAGACTCGTAATTCATTAATTACTCTTCTGTTAACTTGGAGCGTGCATGGCTACCTTTCAGGAAAAGCATTTGTGCGCTCGGGTGAACCGATTGAGAAACGTTGCTCTAACCATTCGGCCACGTACCCATTATTCGACTAGACGCCCATGCATTCACCCTTTCGTATGAGAGCAGGTAACCTTGAGATGCGATTTTTCTATCTTGCTTCAACTGTGCCAATCTAGCGCAGCTGATTGATTCTAGTTACTGATTTGCTTTGATCTTCTTTCGACGCCAAATACGCGATGCCCCCCAGGGATGACGAGATGGCTATCTTTGTGCCCTGGGCAGAGCAAGAATGGAGGGCGCGAAAAAATGAGGACTCCACTTTCCCCTAGTGCGGTATTTGGTTAATCTCATTTAACCTATCTTCCGTTAGTTTAGGCTTCTTTTGAATGGGAGTTCAGAAAGGAAAAACTAATATCCGGTTCTCTCTCTCTCTCTCTCTCTCTCTATCTCTCATCGTCTCTCTCTCTCTCATCGTCTCTCTCTCTCTCTCTCTCTCTCTCTCTCTATCTATCTATCTATTTATCAATCTAGTTCAGAAAGGAAAAACTAATATCCGGCTCTCTCTCTCTCTCACATCGTCCCCCTCTCTTCTCTCTCTCTCACGCTCTCTCTCTCTCTCTCTCTCTCTCTCTCTCTCTATCTATCTATCTATCTATCTATCTATTTAGAAAAAAAATAATATCCGGTTTTCTGTCATCAACTCTCCTTTCTCTCTCTTTCTATCTCTCTCTCTCTCTCTTTCTATCTCTCTCTCTCTTTATCTAGTTCAAATAGAAAATTAATATCCGGTTCTCTCCCTGCCATTCTCTATCTCTCTCTCTATCTCTCTGAGGTTTTCTCTCTTTCTCACTTTTACTCTCTCTCTCCATCTATCTGTCTATCTATCTATCTATTTCTCCATTTTTATCCATCTCATCTTCCTTTCCTCTCCTCATGTATTTTCTCGCTCTTTCTTAATCTTTCACACGTTCTGTCCCTTTTTTTGTCTGTCTGTTCTCTCTCTCTCCTCCCCTCCCCCTCCCTCCCTCCCTCTTTCCTTTCTTTCTCTCTCATACACTATATATCTATTTTCACTCTTCTTTTTCTGCCCGTTCTCTTTTTTTCACTTTTAGTTCTCCTCTCCTAACCTATCACTTCTCTCTCTCTTTCTCTCTGCCTCTCTCTTTCTCTTTCTCAGTCTCTCTCTCTCTCAAATTTTATCTATCTATCTCCATCTTCCTCTATTTTGTTCATCTTCTTTTTTTTCTGCCCGTTCCCTTTTTTTCTTTTTTTAGTTCTCCCTCCTAACCTATCTTCGGCTTCTATCTCTTTCTCTCTCCTCTCTCTGTCATAATCAAAAAAAAAAAATTCTCTCTCTCTCTCTATCTATCTATCTCCATCTTCCTCTATTTTGCACTCACTCTTCTATTTCTCCCCATTCTCTTTTTCTTTTCTTTTCTTTTTTTTCATGCAGTTTTAGTTCTCCTCGACTAACCTCTCACTTCACTCTCACTGTCTCTTTCTCTCCCTCTCCCTCTATTTCTTTCGCCTTCTCCTTCAACGATATTTTTGGCAGTTAATCATCATAATTTCTGACTCCAACACAGCTAATTTCGAACGTAACGAAACCATGACGTCACTCATTATCTCATGGCAACCGTATTTCGAAACAGCAAACCTTTTCGTCTTTAGCTGTTTACTAAGAGTAGCCTAGTCCGGTAAAAATCCACCCTAATAAATCACACAGTGCGAATGGAACTCATTATTCTGTTAATGATCTTTGCGAGACAAACTTGATAAACATCGCTCTTTAAGCGCTCTTTACATATTTACTAAACTTAAGTTAGTATGACACAAGGCCACAATATTAGAGCCTTCAGTTACGCTTAAACAAAATCCTTATATATCCTTAAACAAAATAACAAATTATGTTTCGCCTATTTTTATCGATCTATCATATCTGCTCTGAAATTGTAGCTTAACGTAAACAATGACAACATATAGAAATAGATTAAATCCAACAAATATTTTAATATATTTTCTGTTCATTTAAATTTTTTTTTTTTTATTATGGATACACTTACAAAGGTATGTGTTTAAAATCAGTAATTCGATCCTTGCTAAACTGGAAGTACTCTGTGGCTGAACGATCATAGCATACCAGGCTAAATAAGGGTTCCATATAGGATAGAGGTTCGATTCCTATGGGAGGACGCATATTTTCTATGAAATTTCTAAACATTCAGGTCCGTAAATTTAACTAAAAAAACAAAGTATTTACTCAAATTCTTTGCAAAAAAAAAAAGCCCTTTGTTTAAAAAAAAAACAACGTATAAACAGAAAAAAAATTTATATATATATATATATATATATATATATATATATATATATATATAATAATCAGCTGAAAAAAGAGTCTGCCGTGAATGCACTCCGGAAAGAAATGGTGCTGAACACCATATAAAATGTCAGAGCTTTTCTAAATTAAATTTCAGGCTGATAGTGTCCGACCACTATTTAATTACAGACAAGTTTCTCCGTATCCTTATTAAAAGAAGAAAGAAAATTACCATGTTGATGTATATTCATTTTATTTCGAGTACTTTCGACATTAGCGCAATGTCATCATCAGACAGATAATTGTTGTGTTCATCATTTTTTCTAAGACAAAATTGTTTTATTCATCTGAAAATTAATTTTTATTTGCGAAATGAAAAACGTTACTGTTATGTATTATATTTTTAAATTTTATGATGTAAACTTCAAGGGAGATAACTAAGTTACTGAAAAGTTTAAATATTTAAAAAGAAACTTAAAACTATTAGTTAAAACCTAGATATTTTAAACTATCCGCTGTAAACATTTTAAAACATTTGTGCAGTATTTATAAATAATTTTATTGAGGATTGGTTTTAAATTTTTAATATAGATAACTTCAAGAATTTTTAGTTTACGTTTATTATTTTCATGAAAAACTATAGATGTATTTTCCATTAGAATTTTTCTAAATTGCGATTGTGGACAGGCATGCTGTTGTAAATGTTGAGAGATGTTAAATGCATCATTCAAATGAAAACTCAACCTTACAGATAACGTAGTAGTGGTATGACCAACATATATATTATTTTTTCTGTTGCGAATTTATATACAATGTTGGTATATATATATATATATATATATATATATATATATATATATATAGTGTATTTACTTAGCAAACTTTTAATATATGTTTTTTAAATAGGAATGACAAGCTATTAATATTAAGTTTTTTCTTATATTTTGGGATGCGAATACGTGTTCGTTTTACGAACTTAATGAGTATAGAAATGTTTGTTGATTTATAGCGCTTTCGGCTAATTGTTAGCTATTTTCAACGATTTCTGTTACACTGCTATAATAAATGTTGTGTAAATGCTAGTGTTGACAGTCTAAAAGTTGCTGAAATGTAGGCATATTCTTAATATTAACTGTCAAAATCTCTGGATAATACGTCTACTTGAGAAAGAAATCACCTGTACGCACGCAAAAATATAATAAAAAAATTAACAAAACCATTATGTCAGAGCTGATTAATATATATATATATATATATATATATATATATATATATATATATATATATATATATATAATTGTTAGTAATAAATATATATATATATATATATATATATATAAATAACGTTTCAAGTAATATATATAATAACGTTTAAAGTAATATATATATATAATAAATGACGTTTAAAGTAATATACATACATATATATATATATATATATATATATATATATATAGAGAGAGAGAGAGAGAGAGAGAGATAATAACGTTTACAGTAATATATATGATAAATAACGTTTAAATTAAAATATATATGATAAATAACGTTTCAAGTAATATATATATAATAACGTTTAAAGTAATATATATATATATATATATATATATATATATAATGAATAACGTTTAATGTAATATATATATATATATAATAAATAACATTAATTATAATAAATAATGTTGAAAGTAACATATATATATATAATAAATGACGTTTAAATAATATATATAATAAATAACGTTTAAAGGTAGATATATGCATATATATGTGTTTTAGTGGACTCAGCAATTTTCAGTGTGCTTGTCTGAATCATCTTCAAGAAGCGAGAGCAAGATCTAAAAGGTCAGCCAATCTAACAGTGATCTCATTTCACAATCCTCAGACTTGCTCTATATGTGGCCTCCTTTGTAAATTACTAGCAGGTCTTACATGCCACTTAAGATTATCGCACAAAATTCCATAACTGAATCAATAAGCAGTCAGATCCTCATACGTCGACACCGACGGGAGAGTCCATTATATATATATATATATATATATATATATATATATATATATATAGATATATATATATAGATAGAGAGAGAGATTCAATCATATTTAGTTCAATATTTTTTTAATCAATTTTCTACAGCCACCAAGAAATTAATTTGTGAAAGCATTAAAACTAAAATAAATAGACATAATACGTCTAAATTTTTAACTAAGCATGCTTGAATTAATTTCTTAGTATATAGAAAATGATTAAAAAAAATTATTGAACTAAATATGCTTGAATATATATATATATATATATATATATATATATATATATATATATATATATATATATATATATATATTATATAAAAACGTTATTTATAGCGGATAGAGTAGACGCTCAGTTTATTTTAAACTATTATTATTTTGTCTACTGGCCTGAACAATTCAGAAATTTTATTCAAGAAAATGCGCTATCCGTCAGGATTCGAACCAGCGTCTCTCTTTACAGTGGAAACCGTTATGAGATTCGATGTCCTTTAAACAACTCGGTCACGAAGAATCTAATAATTGATCAAGCACCTATTTTGCCTTTAAAGCACATTTTACTCGTTTAGATTTTGAAAAGTCATAACTGATGAGCCTTGTATGCGAAACGTAAACAAAGCAATTTCCTAAGAAAGAATGGATTGCATTCATTAACCCGATATATATAAAACAAAAAAAATAATTACAAAATTCCTGTTCTTTTTTTAAAATTTCAACTACTATATTCACAAGCTTTCCCATATTTTAATAAATGATTTCCAGTATTTAAAACTCGACAAATAATGAGAAAGATATTCAGCGAGAAACTGCTTAACGCTAGGCGTCAGCCCCCAGCCTACACACACTCCTAACATCATCTGGCATACATAATTTTTAAGAATTCACCAAGGCAATACAGTAGCAATAAAGCCCGATGCCAAGTATGTAAACATATCATCACTGATAGCAATTTCACACACCCCGATAGTCACACAATATTCAAACCATCGGCTCTGAATTGTGACAGTTCAAATCTAACATATTTACTTATATATTTATTCTACCACAAATGCAAAAAATGGGAATTACGTTGGAGAAACACGCACAGAATTCCGTCTTCAGTTCATAATAACCATGCAAACATCAAAGAAAACAATAATTTTCCTCTCGCTGCACACTTCAACCAACAGTTTCATAGCATTGATGACATCAGATGCATACTTTTAGTGTCTTCAGTTAACAACCGACAAGAAAGACGCAGGTCGGAATTAAAATATATTTAAAAAATAAAATCACACATTGAGGGTTTAAACAGGGACTTGGATTTACTCAAAGAATATAATTTCCACAGGGAGGCCTCTAAACAACAACATTCTTCGGAAGAATGAATCCCACTTCTTTGTTTATTTCTCGTCACATTGAAAAAGGACACAGGCGTGTCCGAAAATTCCGACTTTCTCTTCGTGCTTCAGTTTAGTCAAAAGGCTAATATATAATAAATATCGTCAATCTTATTGCCAATATCGTTATCATATTGCTGTCTATTTATTCCTCAAATTTCATTAACTGGCCTTAACTATCTCTCTCTCTCTCTCTCTCTCTCTCTCTCTCCTCTCTCTCTATCTTATATATATATATATATATATATATATATATATATATATATATATATTGTATAAAGTGGCAGACTTGCTGCTTCTTCTTCCGGATGGAAAAGCCTTTTGGACAAGCAGATTTTGTTAGAAAGTGCTCGATATCAAAAGTTAGGATAGACCGTTAATAGAATTAATTTGGAGAAGTTTATCACTTAACTGACGAGTGTTGATTCAGTCATGCCTACTACGTAGTTTCGTGAGCACGTCAGGATAACATGTTCACTCTTCAGGACTTGCTGTCTTCTCTGCTGTTATTTCTCAATTTTGCCGTATTTAAGTGTGGCTTGGTGTAATTTGATATCTTTTGGTGTGTGGTTTTTCACTTAATGGGTGTTGTTGTTATTGCTTATGTTGTATGGGTTTTTTATGTGTGTTTGCTTTGTGTTGTGATGACTTCTTTTTGACGGTATTTTAGTTAATTGCTTATGTGGAATTGGTAATTTTTTACAATGTTCGAGTGACATACTTTATTGGGTTAATGTGTATTTCCGCTTGGGTTTTTTTTTACGTCATGGTTAAATGTTTGACCTTGCGTGTGCATGCACGTGTTTCTGTTTGTTTTCTGGGTTTTTTTTTTATTTGTGTGCGATTAGGTATATATTTGTAGGTCTCTGTTTATATTGGTGTTTAGGTAACAAAGTAGATATTTATTTGAATGTCTGCCTATCCTCATTATTTCGTTTTTCTTGTTTAATAGTTTCCTTTGGATTTTAAAGTTAACTATTGCTAATTACTTTTCTAGGCATAGTTTGCAGTTTCTGCTATTGCTCTTTTTATAATTTTCCATTTAAGTTTTTAGTGATGTTATCTTCTTTTTGAATCCATATGTATTTTGAGAGTATTTTGTTTGTTTTTTTTCTTTGTTTTGTTTTTTGTATTTTTCGCTTTTAAAAGATCTTTTGTGGTTGTTGAATCTTTCTCTGAAGGTTATTCTGTGGCTCATATGTAGGTTTTTCGTCTGTGTTGGTGTTATTTGTTACGATAACTTTGAATATTATTTTATATATTGTTAGTTAGATATTTACTGTAAAGCGAACGGTTGTCCTTGTTTCGACAGTTGCATTTTTTGTGTTATTTTGTTGGTTATTGTCATTGTCATTTTTTTTTCAGTATTTTTTATTGTTTGTTTATTATTTTCTCTATGTTGTTCCTGCAGCTATGACTAATTTTAATTGTGTTTTTTTTTTTACGATTTTTGATAGTTTGTTGATTTGGGGAAGTGTTTTCAACTATATTGAAGAATATCAATATCTTTCCAATTTTTGTTTTTATTGTATTATTGTAGGGTGGTTTAAACCAGATTATGTCTCTTCTATTGTTTTTTTTTAGTTTGTTTATTTTGTTTGTTTGTTAGTTTTAAATTTTTTTTTTCTTTGGTTTGATTTCATTTATGGATTAAAGTTTCAGTAGCCACTCTTCGTAACGTTGATTCTTATATTTCTAAGTTCTCGTTGAATATTTTAATGTTGCTGGAGTTCGTTGATATTCTTTGTTTATGGATATGGGTATGTATTTGAATGTGTTAGGTTGGAGTTTTTTTAACATATATAGTTTTGTTGTTTGCCTTTCTATATGGTTTATATGTGTTATTGTTTAAACTGAATGTTACATCTAAGTAGTTAACTATTATTAGATTTGATTTTATGTCTATTGTGAATCCGAGTTTGTCGAAAATCTTTATGATTTGTTTTCTTATTTTTTTCTGCGGTTCTACCATTACAATTTCCGTCGTCTCTGTATAGACTTGTATTTGCTTTGTTGATAATATATCTGTTGTTTTTATCACATTTCAGACACCATGGCCTTCTGGCTTTTATCTGGTGATTGTTAATCCAGGTAACTTTCAAGTAATTTTGAACTGAAAATTTTATTTAGCCTATAGGATCAATTGGTCTCACCATGTTGCGAAATATTTTATCTAGTTCTTATTTAGTACTGCTCAGTTATTGGTTGCCCCATTTCTACTGAATAAGTTTGCACTGGCCAGCTCATGATTAACCTTACGCCTACTATACCACCAAATTCATGAACCAACGTTTTGTTCCACAAGGCTATTGTCTTGTGGGACAATCCTGAGTGTGGAACTTAGTAACTTAAACCTAATCTGCCTATCTGCTGGTAACTCCTCATCTCATATCAGAGTATGCCTGATCTACTAGGACTACTAGCCAATCCCTGTTGCAGACGCCTGCTCAGGTACATTTGTGTTCAACACCAACAAAGCCCACCTATGGTTTATACCGCAACTATGCTGAGCAGACCTTAGTTACACTTTCCGTGAGAGAGCACATTATCTGGCATGATCTGAACAAGGCCAGCACGCTCACAACCTCAGTCACAATGACTCCTAACTTCATGCTAGCACAATAAACAGCTCTTAAATAGTCCCATCTACCAAATTTTACTCACATTGCTTGGGTCAACCCGTGATGTGGTTTTCAGGTACTTGCCAAAGGTACCGTACGCTGGGATCGCCTCCTCAGGCCGATAACAACAAGAAGGTACCTTTCTGATAAATCGACCACGATGAGATTCGTACCCAGGACTCATAGTCGTAAAGTAAACGTTACAATAAATCAGTCACATTTTTGGTAAATAATGTTAAAATAAATTTAACTGACACTTGATTTTTTTTATCCTAGCTGGTAAACTTTACTTCTTCAGGACGTTGGCAATCATGGTTCTCCACGATTTCCTGTCCTTTGTAGCCCTTAGCAAATTTGGCCTTTTTGCTATCTCTCCTAAACCCTGTTCTGCCAACAATTTTCACAAGCTTCTTCTTCTTCTTCTTCTTCTTCTATAGGCCATGCCTCTTCAGGACTTGGGCGATCATGGTTCTCCACAATCTCCTGTCCTTTATAGCTCTTAGTAATTTTGTCTTTTCGCTATCTCTTCTAGTGATTTTCCAAGCGTAGCACAGATGTGGCACAAGGCCGAAAGTATGGGGCACCTAGTGAGGATCGAACTCACTACTCAGTCGTAATTGTTCTAGCGAGACAAGCTTGCTAACCATTACACCACCCCGAGATGCACAAAATATTGATTTCCCAAGCCTAGCTTAGATGTGGCACAAGGCCGAAAGTAGGGGCACCCAGTGAGAATCGAACCCACTACACAGTCGTAATCGTTCTAGCGATTCAAGATAAGCTTGCTAACCATTACACCACCACGAGATACCCAATATATATTTATACAATCTTCTTCTTCTTCTTCTTCTTCTTCTTCTTCTTCTTCAGGACTTGGGCGATCATGGTTCTCCACAATCTCCTGTCCTTTGTAGCTCTTAGTAATTTTGTCTTTTCGCTGTCTCTTCTAGTGATTTTCCAGGCGTAGCTCAGATGTGGCACGAGGCCGAAAGTATGGGGCACCCAGTGAGAATCGAACTCACTACACAGTCGTAATTGTTCTAGCAAGACAAGCTTGTTAACCATTACACCGCCTCTAGGTGCCCATTCGCTATCTCTTCTAATCGCCCCCCTTCCGCAAACCATTTACACAAATTTGTAAAGTAAAATATTCTCTGTATTCCTCTGTCCCTCTTGCCTTCAGTATGTCCTGTGAGTGTCATATTTTCTGAGCCGTCTTTCTTTTTCTGAATATAACAGCGTGCACATCTTTTTCTATGGAATATCCTTTGTGTGTTTTTGTTTTGCTTTTTAGCTAAGAAGTAAGATTAACTCCTAACTATCCGACTTTGTATTCTAAGCTATTTTCAGACTGCAAGATTTACAGCCCGTTTTTCGATACATACTTTCTGCAAGAAAATAGTGTCTTCAGTGCCTAAAAAAAAACAAAAAAAAACAGAGTAATTCTGGGCAAAAATCATAACCAGCTGTTAAGTAACCCATACCTTTAGCAGATGATCGACGGTCACCACTCCAAAGTATATGGAGTTTTGCTAGAAATCCCACAATACCTGTCTGACAATAAAGCGCTAAATGATAGTGCGACTTCAAATTCAAATTTCCGGCGGACAAAATATTTCTGTGGAAATCCTTAGAAATAGAAGAAACGTATCTCCTTAACTGAAGAGCTCCTTTTCTTTCCGCTTCTTTCTAATGACTATGAAGACAGGCATGGCGTCATAAAGACGGTCTCGACTGCTTGGTTGGAAAGTTGTCCTGTCACAGTAGCTATTGCCAAATAATTAGGCTGGAATTATTTTCGCAGAAGAAGCTCTATAAGTTAAATGAATCCATATCAGGTGTCTAATCCAGAAAATAAGATTCAAGTGAAAAAAAATATGGCTTCTGTGTCTAAGTATTCATTATTACTCTTTTCTTTTCCCGGGTACTGAATGTAATGAGTTCGCTAATCTATATTTTCCAATGTTCACTTCAGACCAATTTTCTCTCTTTTGCATTTTTTATTCCGTCTGTTTTGGCTTCCTTCTTAAATTCCATTCCTAATCTATGATTATAGCGTTTTCTTCCTCTCATTATTAAAGCGAAATGGTCACGTGGCTCTTCGAGTCAGTTTTGTTGATTACTTCCGCTTTTTTTTTCTCTCTAATATTTGTCGCCTGTTCTCGTTTCGGTGGGATCACAAGGAAAGGTGACCCCCTACAATTTCAAGGGACACACAGACGAGCATTTTTTTTTCTTAATTGATCTTTTTTTTTCTGTTTTTTTATTTGCTCAGTTTATTCTTTTTCTTATTTTCGTTTTTTAAACTATAAACTTCATAAGTTTCTTTTCCTTTCCTCCTCGCTTTCTTTCTTTCTTTCTTTCTTTCTTATTCCTTCGCCTTCTTTTTTCTTTCTTTCTTTTGTCGCTTTCTTTCTTCTATTGTCTCACACCTCTAGATCGCTCTTCCCTCTTTCCTTTAACAAGTAACCTTATTTCCTTTCCTTTCCCCTTCCTTCTCTTCTCTTCCCCTTTTCTTTCTTTCTTTCTTTCTTTCTTATTCCTTCGCCTTCTTTTTTCTTTCTTCTTTTGTCTCACTCCTCCCACTCGCTCTTCTCTCTTTCCTTTAACAAGTAACCTTATTTCCTTTCTTTTCCCCTTCCTTCTCTTCTCTTCCCCTTTTCTTTCTTTTTTTTCTTTCTTTCTTATTCCTTCGCCTTCTTTTTTCTTTCTTTCTTTTGTTGCTTTCTTTCTTCTTTTGTCTCACTCCTCCCGCTCGCTTTTCTCTCTTTCCTTTAACAAGTAACCTTATTTCCTTTCATTTCCCCTTTCTTCTTTTCTCTTCCACTTTTCTTTCTTTCTTTCTTTCTTTCTTTCTTTCTTTCTTTCTTCTTCTGTATACCTCTGGCTTCATTCTTTCTTTCTTTCTTTTGTCGCTGTCTTTCTTCTTTTGTCTTACTCCTCCCACTCTCTCTTCTCTCCTTCCTTTAACATGTAACTTTCTTTTTTCGTTTCCTTTCCCCATCGTTCTTTTCTATTCCCCTTTTCTTTCTTTCTTTCTTTCTTTCTTTCTTTCTTTCTTTCTTTATTTCTTTCTTTCTTTCTTTCTGTTGCAGTTTTTTCTTCTTCCTTCTCCTCTTCGTTTCTATTTTCTTTTCTACGTTATTCATGCTCTGTTCTCGTTTCGATATCTTCAAAACGAGAAGTGACCCTACAATTTCAAATGGACACATAGACGAGCAATTATTTTAATAAATGTTTCTTCATTTTCTTTTTCTTTCTATCTCATTCAAACGATTCCTTTTCATCCTCATTTACTTTCTTTCTCACTTTTCACCTGTTATCTATATAAATTGGTTCGCCGAATTCTTTTTTTTTTATTATTTTATTCCTCTCTTTCTTCTTTCTTTATTTTTTCCTCCTCTCTCTTCACCGTTTTTTTTTTTCTACCTCTCCTTCCTTTCTTCTACATTTCTTTCTTGCTCCAGGTCGGATTTCTCTCTTCGTCTCTCTTTTGACTTCTTAGTAATTTATTGAATAAAATAGACATTTTCTGCCTCTTAACAATCATTAAAATGCGAGCATTTGATGGGAATTTCAACATCCCTTAAATTAGTCTAAATCCATATAAAGAGTCTGCAAACCCTTGCATCGTAATTACGATTTCCTGAAACGAATGAATGAATAATTCGACGTTTGTATTAGGTATTTCGGAAAATAATGTCCGATTTTAGAATAAAGGCTTTATGTTCTAATATATCATTATAATAGTTGCATCAAAATATATGACTCATTCCTAATGATTAAAATGTCCTATTTGTTAATTTTACATCAATCTCTTTTAGAAATTTGTTCTCAAGTACTTGACACACCCAGTGTATACAGTGGAAAATAGTGTTAGATTTTTCGAAAAATAATGTCCGATTTTCGAATATACCTTTGTGTACCAATATATCATTATACTAGTTACACAATATATGTTGTAGATAGGACTATTTGAGAGCTGCTGATTGTTGTGCTAGCATGAAGTCATGAGTCATAGTGACTGAGGGTGTGAGCGTGCTGGTCTTCTTCAGATCGTGCCAGATAATGTGCTCTCTCACGGAAAGTGTAACTAAGGTCTGCTCAGGATAGTTGCAGTATAAACCACAGATGGGGTCTGATGGTGTTGAACACAAATCTGCCTGAGCAGGCGTCTGCAACAGGGATTGGCTAGTAGTCCTAGTAGATCAGGCATATATGAGATTAGGTGTTACCAGCAGATAGGCAGATTAGGATTGTCCCCCCACAGGACAATAACCTGGTGGAAAGAAGTGTTGGTTCATGAATTTGATGGCATAGCTGGCGTAAGGTCAATCATGAGCTGGCCAGTGCAAACTTATTCAGTAGAAGTGGGGCAACCAATAACTGAGCAGTATTAAATAAGAACTAGATAAAATATTTCGCAACATGGTGAGGCCAATTGTCCCTGTAGGTTAAATAAAAATTTCAGTTCAAAATTACTTGAAATTTACCTGGATTAACAATCACCTGATAAAAGCCAGAAGGCCATGGTGTCTGAAATGTGATAACAACAACAGATATATTATCAACAAAGCAAATGCAGGTTTATACAGAGACGACGGAAATTGTAATGGTAGAACCGCAGAAAAAAATAAGAAAACAAATCATAAAGATTTTCGACAAACTCGGATTCACAATAGACATAAAATCAAATCTAATAATAGTTAACTACTTAGATGTAACATTCAGTTTAAACAATAACACATATAAACCATATAGAAAGGCAAACAACAAAACTATATTTGTTAACAAAAACTCCAACCTAACACATTCAAATACATACCCATATCCATAAACAAAGAATATCAACGAACTCCAGCAACATTAAAGTATTCAACGAGAACTTAGAAATATAAGAATCAACGTTACGAAGAGTGGCTACTGAAACTTTAATACATAAATGAAATCAAACCAAAGAACCCCCCCCAAAAAAAACAAACTAAAAAAAACAATAGAAGAAACATGATCTGGTTTAAACCACCCTAAAATAATACAATAAAAACAAAAATAGGAAAGATATTGATATTCTTCAATATAGTTGAAAACATTTCCCCCAACAAAACAAATTAAAAAAAAATAAGAAAAAAATCCCAAAGACTTTCGACCCACTAGAATTCACAAGACATAAAATCAAATCTAAAAATAGTTTACTTAGATGTAACACAATATATATTACTTATTCTTAGTGTCTTCTTTGTTAATTTATTTCATTTGGAATTTAACTTAAAAAAATTATATACCTTCCATCTTGAACATGAAAAAAGATGTCTTTACTTTTTTGCATGAGTCCAATATTGCTCATAATGCTTCCCAAACTGGTGCCAACATTAACAGAGCATGGGGCGAAAGATCCACTTGTGACCAGACAGTACGACGCTGGTTTCTGAAGTTTCGCAGTGGGGTTACGAGTCTTGAAGACCGGGGTCGTTGGAGACGCCCATCCAGAATTGACAATCAACGTTTGAAAACATTAGTTGAACAAAAACCACGTCAATGTATTACAGAAGTGTCTCAGAAAATGGCTGTCATCATTTCGCCAATATCCGACCATTTAAAGAAAATTATCAAGAAACGCGATAAATATCCTGATCATAAATAAAACCCGCATTAATATATGAGAGAAGTGTCTCAGATAATGGCTGTCAGCATTTCAACAATTTCAAAAAAATTAGCCAGACGAAGAAACTCGATAAATGAGATTCACACGAACTCAGTGAAAGGCAAATGGCCCGACGTTTTGAAGTGATCAATGCTGCGAAATTCAAATGATCCATTTCTTTGTCGAATAGTGACATTTGATGACAAAATGGATCATTTATTGATAATCGTAAACGATCGGCTCAATGGTCTGATCATAAATAAGTACCCAAACACTTCTCAATGACGAAATTGCACCAATAGAAGATTATGATGATCTTCTGGTGGTCCGCTATTAGCGTTATCCATCACATCTTTCTAGAATCTAACCAGAAAATCACTGCCGAAATATACTGCTAGCAGCTGGATGACAGCGTACAGGGTGGTCTGAAAGTCCTGTCACCTACTCATAATATAATTTTTCTATTTTTTTTTAAATAGAAAATTATGGGATATTATCAAGGAGATAGTTTCATATAAACAATACCAGAATACCCATCAGTTGAAGGACGTCGCCCGAAGAGCCTTTGCAACAATCAACAAAGCACAGCTTCGTAAAATATCATACAGAACATGGCGCCGTATCATTTTGTACCACGAAAATGATGGTCTTCATACAGACCTTCTCGATGTATGACAACGTCAATGAAAATAAATAAACTGAATCCAATGTGCTTTGTATTACTTGTTCTCCTTACTTTTTTTGGTAAGGGATAACAAGACTTTCGGAACACCCTGTACGGTGGCCAAAAATTGGGGTATGTGTTTAATAATATCAAACAATCCAAAACTGATCCCTCACTTTTATCATCGTTTCACTCGATTACCTATAAGGACGTTTTGTAATTTCATCTATGAATCCACAGGGTGGTCCGAAAGTCTTGTCACCCCTACATAATATAATTTTCTATTTAAGATGGCTGACAGCAAAATGATGGTCTTCATAAAGACCTTCTCGGTGTGTGACAGCGTCAATGAAAGTGAATAAACTGAATCCAGTACATGTGCTTTGTATTACTGTATTACTTGTTCGTCTATTGTTCGCATTACCTTTTTTTTTTTTGGTAGGGGATGACAAGACTTTTGGACCATCTTGTATATTGTTTTTAAACAAGCGAGAATTAGAATTGGAATAAATCTTAAACACATAAAAGTGAATTTATATATATATATATATTCTTTGTTCTTGAGAATTTACAACAAAAATAATGATTATGACCTTAACAGTCAAAGGTCGAGTACAGGTGAAGACTGACTTTTAAAGAGTTGCCACATCACTTACGCCCGGAGAAAATAATACTGACCGCCATTTTAAGGAACAAATGATGATGTTCATACAGACCTTCTTGATGTTTGACAGCGTCAATGAAAGTGAATAAACTGAATCCAATACATGTGCTTTGTATTACTGTATTACTTGTTCACCTATTGTTCTCATTACCATTTTTGGTAGAGGGTGATAAGACTTCCAGACCAGTCTGCACATTCAATTAATCAAAATGCAACCAGCACTGGTTAATCGATGAATTTTCAATTCATAATTTGATTTGACAATGCTCGGCCACATTATTTGCCAACTTGTTTATCTGCGGGGAGATCACTTTGTTATTGGGATCCCGAAATTTTGCCACACCCACCATACTAGCATAATCACCCATTCACTGACTACATCTTTTTCAAGAAACTTGAAAAATTTTAAATCAAATGATATTCTATTGCAAAGAAGATACAGAAAGTGCATTCGAAAATTTCTTGGCGTGCCAACCATTAGAGTTTTATCGCAACGGAATAAATAACCTTGTACGTCGATAGCAGAAACGTAAAGATGTTCTGGGTACCTATTTTGACTGATTTAATTACTGCTTAAATACATTAATTCGTGAATAAAATCGAACATTATTCGCCGAACGACTTAATATCTTTTTTTCGCCTGAACTTCTAGAATGAGGAGTTATCATTATTAAGACTATTTATATTCAGACCATTGTCCTCATCTTTGTTGTTTCTATTACGACGTCACGGCCGTTGTGTTCTCTGCTAATAAAGGAAGTGAAATGACAGCAAGGCTTCAATCACAGCAGCAGTAACAATCAAAGCATGAGCAGGAACAGCAGTCAAAATATGACAGCGAGCAGCAGCAGTGGCAGCCTAATCAGCAGACAAGGTTAGGTTTAAAGGTCTAATTTTGCATTATCAAATTGTTCAAGAGGGCAAAGTCCTAGTGCTAAATAAAAATAAAGAACAAGACACGAGAACATTTTATCCCCGTAGATTAAATAAAAGTCTCGGTTAAGATTTCCCTGTAGGTTGCCCAGATTGATATACACCTGAGGAAGGCCGGAGGGCAAAACGATCGAAACGTTGTGATAAAAATGACAAAGATGAGGACAATAGTCCGAATGTAAATAGTGTAAATAAACTTAGTATCTTTTTTTTTAATCTTTCTTTTTAGGAGTTTTAGTGATTTAGTAGGGCTTTGTGTGATCAGACCATGTTTGATACCTATTGTTTTTTAGGTTTTTTTTTTTAGAATTTGCAGTAGGATCCATTCATAACGGTTGATATACATACATACGCAATTTCATGAATATAAATCGAATTAGCGGAAAACTCTGAGATGCGGTTTTGCTCTTCTTGAATCCATTAATTATCTCATTGTGGCAATGGATTGAGTTTTTTTTTATCCTTGGTTTGGTTTTGGTTTGGTTTGGTTTGGTAAATAGCAGGACAGAGCGAATCAACCTAGCCGATGGGTAATTTAATGTCGACAAGATAAAAAGAAATGGCAATATGCGGGAAAAAAATGTATTACTGTTATCTATCTTTTCCCAAAAACGTATTGCTGGTAAATTTCATTGCTGGTAATATTTTTTTTACAAAAATGTATTGCTGGTATTAAAACCTATTTTTACACTTAAATGTATTGCTGGTATTATTTTTTCCAAAAATATATTGCTGTTAAAATTTATTGTTGGTAATAATTTTTTACAAAAATTTATTTCTGGCATTAAAAACTATTTTTACAATTAAATGTATTGCTGGTAATATTTTTTCCAAACATATATTGCTGGTAAAATTGTCCTCAGTAATAATTTTTGCAAAAAATGTATTGCCTGGTAATATTTTTCCAAACATATATAACTGGTAAAATCACTTTCCAATAATTTTTTGCAAAAATGTATTGCTGGTAATATTTTTTCCAAACATATATTGCTGGTAAAAATCACTGTTAGTAATAATTTTTGCAAAAATGTATTGCTGGTAATATTTTTTCCAAACATATATTGCTGGTAAAATTCACTGTTGGTAATAATTTTTTGCAAAAATGTATTGCTGGTAATATTTTTTCCAAACATATATTGCTGGTAAAATTTATTGTTGGTAATAATTTTTTTACACAAATGTATTTCTGGTATTAAAAAACTATTTTTTTAGAGCCTTAAATGTATTGTTGGCAATAACCCAACAAAAAAATATAAAACTGGTAATGAATTTTTCAAAAATGTATTCTCCCCAGTATGGATAAAAAGCAGGAAAATGGGTTGGTAATATTTTTAAAGCAAATGGTGGGTAATAATGAATTGATGGTAATAATTTTTTGCAAAAACGTATTGCTGGTATTAAAAACCTATGTTTTACTTTAAAAAGAGTTTGGGGGTTAACTATTTGCCGACTTTTGGGGACCTTTTAACAAGGTGTCTTCATTTTAAATTCAGAGTGGCAATTAAGAGGTGGTTTATTCTTCAAAACCTCTTGATCAGAGGGCTTGTAGGGTTTTTTGGATTTAGTTTATAAATCATACCCAGGACGGTGTGCTAAGATGTTGGGTAAACAATGTTTATAAAACTGAAAAAAGGCTGGGGGAAGGTTCAAAACCAAATATTTTTTTTTTCTCAATGCCATTTCATTGTTTTTTGGATCCTTTTGAAGGTTGCAACCCAAAGACGAAATCAAATTTATTCACGCCGGGCATTCATACAAGGATCTCGCATCACAAGCCGGCTTTAAAAAAGAAGAACCAGAATCATAAAAAGGTGTTTAGCAAGTCTCTAGCAAAAAAAAGATGAGCGATGGGCGATTTTATTTTACGATTGGATGTACGCAAACGAAGAGCTTATAACTGAAAATGTCGAGAAAATCGATCAGACAGGAACCGGAATTGTTCCCTGGCAATGGAGTTACGGTCTCCGATACGACTGGTATTCAATGTCCCAATACTGAGAAGACAAGACACAAGATGGGGATGAAAAAATAACAAAGGCAACAACGTCGACGTGAGGGAGCTCTTATCCGGAAAGAAGTTCGTCAACAAAATATTCCTGATGACAGCCTTTCTCGGAAAGCCGAAGAAGCCAAAGAAAGAAAAAGGCGGGAAAGCCAAAAAGGGCAAATTTAAATTGCCCATGGTAATTTGCACGAATGGCGACATCGAAAGAACTGAAGGCGGTAACCCACCTGTTGAATTCATACAGTATACAGCATGCATCACCGACACGAATCGTGATTTGATGCGATAAACCCCCAAGCCAAATTTTTTCAGGATGATTCATTTTTACAAAACATGGGCAGATTATTTTATTAATATAAATGACGCAGTTCGGTGTAATGATATGAAATCTCTACAGACAGCGATCGAGAAGGGAACCGCAGTTGATACAAAGGACAAATATTTCAAGACGCCCCTCATGATTGCTTGCGCCCTAGGCAACATTGAAATCGTGAAAATGCTACTCGATAAAAAGTAAGTGACATTATTTCTTCGCATTTTGTTTGTAGCTATTTCATTCCAAAATGAAGTCTTGCGTTTCATTGTTTGTTTGCTTCTTTTTTTTAATCATTTTACACCAGGCAAGGCAATAAAGCCACTAAAACGCATTTGACGGTTGGCAAACGTTGTCTTAGTCTCAGACCGATGTGGAGTTAGAAGGATCATGGATAGGTTTTTTTAGAAGTGAAGATGATTTGATTGGCCATTTTCTTGGATAGATGTTTGCTGAAATTATAACCTTCACCTATACAGTTAGGTTAAATATGCTTAGAAGATTGGATGATGAGGTAAAATTCCAGCGGACATAGTTTCATTCACTTTGATGGAAATACTATTCGAAACTCAGACAAACCTCTCATCAACGGACTAATAGGGGCGGGGGAGGTTGTTAAAGCCGATTTTCCGTAAATGGCAAGGTATTATTTTATAAAAAAAAAACACTATAGTAACTGCCAGTATTTATGGTACTAATATATATACTATAAACATCATCTAGTAAATATATATAATATATATATATATCAATTGTTTCTCCTGTCGAGATTCGTATAAGATCATTCAGAAAGATTTTCAATACAAACTGTCAGATGAGTCAATAAACCGGCACATGAATTTGATTATAGTGGTGAAGGCCTCGTGCATTACCATCTTTTGAAGAAACGAATATAGAGATATTGCATAGCGAATGCCACAATGTTCCCAAACGAATAAAAGGTTTTGAATTCAGAGTTGTGATCTACTAGACCATTTTGCCATTAGTGGCATTAGAACCCAGTTTCTGTCATTTTATTTTACCAATAGCTGGAGGGAGAAGAAGAGGATTCATACCTTTTTGGGGATATTAGTCTTATTCGATAATGGATTCGATGGAATTCGAATGGCTCTACGATTCTCAGTCCAAGACAGGTGCATCCATCTTTCCAAAAGTAAAAGTATAGAGCCTGAAATGCAATTTGCAGGTCAGGAAGACTAAAATCAAGCCGACACAGAAGTTTAAATATCTGGGAAGTATCTTGAAGAAGACGGTAAGTGCGACACTGAGATCCGTAGACGTATTGGGATGGCCAAGGACGCATTCCAAAAGCTGGGCAGAGTATTGCGAGACAGGAGGATTTCTTTGGTAACAAAGAAAAGAAAATACTGAGCTGTTACGTGGCATCTGTCCTTCTTTACGGCGGCGAATGTTGGACGATTTCCTGAAAGATGAAGAAGGAACTCGAAGCGACGGAGATGTTGTTCTACAGAAGGATGCTAAGGATATCATGGACCGAGCGTGTGAGCAATGATGAGGTCTTAGAGAGGTTGCAAACAAGGAGGAGGCTTATACTTAACATCAGGAAGAGGCAGCTGAAGTTTCTGGGACACATAATGAGGAAGGAGGGCCTGGAGAATCTGATACTCACGGGTCGAATAGAGGGAAAGAGAGACAAGGGAAAACAACGCATGACATACCTAGCGGGCTTAAGCAAGTGGATGACAGAACGTGGTCTGGGGGAGGAAGCAGAGGGAAGGAACTTGTTGAGAGCTGCAAGGGATAGAGGGAGGTGGAGAGCCATGATCGCCTACGTCCTGAAAGGACATGGCATATAAAAAGAAAATCAAAATAATAAAAAATAATAGATTTTGAATCAACTACTTTTTAACGCACATTGCTAATGTTTCCTACTTTAAGGAATTCTGTTTATAATTGAAAGGCCCGCCACCGCCGCCAAGATGTCACTTTGAAATCATAATACGTTGCTATTTTTTAATGAAAAATTTTGAAATACATAAATTGACGATTCAAAAAGAAATATTTTAAGAAAAAATTCTTTATTTTGCATTGAAAGAATGGTGATTTGTCCAGGTTGTATTTTAAAAATTTCTTTAATGGAATTTATTGGAAAGTAATTAATATATGAGGAGAAAAATTTGTTTTCAATGTTTTCTATTAAAAATATATCACACGATTTCGAAGAAAATATATCAGAATTTAAAATTGAAATTTTTTCTTAATATAATTTAAATTTCATAAAAAAAAATTTTCAATGAAAAATATTTCCTAATTTTGTTAGAAAAAAGAAAAAAAACCTAAATAATTAAGAAGAAAGAGCAAATAAATTTAATTTAATAGATTCAGGTATAAACAAAACATGGATGAAAAAAAAAAAAAAAGAATTTTGCAAAGTATAAAAAAAAAAAATAGGAAGATAATGTCATTTTATCATTTATAAAATTCTAAAATGAAATTTTTATTTGGATGGAGGATACAAATTTATGGAAATTCAAAATTTAAACCATAGATAATTTTGGAAAAAAGATAAATTTTTTTTCCAATAATTAATAAATAGTATTATGAATATATCAATAGATATTTAAAATTTATAAAGGATATAAAATATCCAAAGATATAAATATATTTATAAAATTTTTTAAGAAAAAAAAAAACCACAAAATTGCAAAAATTAATAAAGAATATCATTTCAAATAAGGAAAAGAAAGATTTTTTTTTTGAATGTTTTTTTGAATTATTTCAAACAGATTTTAAATACATTATCAGTCAAATCAAAAATATTAAAACTTCAATTAAAACAGATAACCTGAAAAACAAAAAAGAAATTTTCTCATTCTATTTTTAAATTGATAGATAAGAATTTATGATAAATGTTTCACATTTAATTAAATTCAGATATTCCCAAAAATCAAATAAGGAATTCAATAATAAATAAAATTTCAAGAATGAATTATATTTGATGTAGATTTTTCCAAAAGATTAAATTAATTTCAAATTTAAAAATTTTGCATTTGATCTTAAAGGATAAATTTAAAAAAATAAAGAAGAAAATAATTTTATGTTTCTTTTATAAAGAATATAAAAAAATTTTTATATGATTTATGCTTTTATATTATAAGAATTTTTCATAAAATCAAATTAAAAATTTTTATTTAAAGTTTTAATTAAAAAAAAAATAGAAGAAATATATAAGAAAATTTAAAAAAAAATATTTTTAATTTCAATTGTTAATTGATGTTATTTCAAAAATTTATAAAATGTTTTATTTTTTCCAAAAAAACCATTGCTTTAAATTTTTTTATTATTTATATATATAATATTAAAAAAATTTAATTTGAAAACAAAATCTTTTCTGAAAAACATTTTTATAAAATAAAAATTTTCATTCAATGAAAATTTATGACTTTAATGAAACTCATTTGATATTAACATTATTAATTTTGTCTTAAATAAAATAAAAGAATAAAAAAAAGTTTTACTGGAAATATAGAATTTTTTCCATAAAAGAAATTTGCCAATAAAAAAAAAAAAAATTTGGAAAATACATTTAAATATAAAATTTCAAAAAAATTATTTTTTATTTTTTATTTATTTATCCATTTTCCATTTCTCTGATCAAATTTCAATATTTTTGAAGTTTTGATTTCAAAAATATTGATTTTCCAATACAATTAAAAAAATAAAATAGTAAATTTTCCAGCAATAAAGTGAATATTTATTTTTCTTGATTTTTTACTTTTATAGAACTTAAAATTAATATATATTTACATTTTATAAAATTAAAGAAGAAAAAGTTAAAAAAATTTAAAAATCCATTAAAATATTTTGTTAAATATAAATTTAAATTTAAAATTTAAAGATTACCAAAAAATGATATAGAAATATAATTGAAAGAATTTAAGTCTATCATTGATATCCAAATTTTTTATTCAATTACGTCTTAATTTAAATATATATATTTGAAATTCTAAATAAAATATAAATAAAAATTTATATATATAAATAATTATTTTAAATGTATTCAGGAATATTGGTAAATAAATTGTTATTATAATTTTTTATGAAAAAGCCTAAAATTTTAATTTAAATCAAAACAATTTTGCAACATTCTATTTTCCTACTTTTTATTAATTAAAAAATTTTTAAAGAAAATCGAGTACATTATTATTTTTTTTGCAATTTTTGAATTTATCCATATATTTGAATAGATATTTGGATATTTTAAAATTTTTGTGTTTTATTTATTAATTTAAATTTATATATATAAAAAAAAAAGAAATTTTATTTTTACATTTTAAGTTTATTCATTCTTTAATTAACTGAAAATTTTAATTTTAAAAAATAATGTGAAATAAATTTTTATAAATATTTATATTTTAAAATTCATTGATATTTTTAAAAAAAGAAATGGAATATAAATAAGAAAGAAAAATTTTTTCAATTTTTAGCGTTATAGTTTTGCTCCTTATAATTTATGTTGATAAAGTCCAAAGAATGGAATTTATTCATAGTTTCCAAGGCAAAAAAATTAAATTAAAATATTTTTTGAAAATTTTAAATTATGATTATCCAAAGAATAATCCTAAATAAAAAATATGAAATTAAAAAAAAAAAAAGTTTTTTAAAAAAAAAAGAATAAGAAATTTTTTTCCAGTCATAAAAATATGATAAATATATATGAAAAAAACCAAAAAATCCAAATAAATAAATCCAGAATCTATCTTACATAAATCTTTCTACCATTCATCCATGCTTTGAATATTGATGTAATATGGTCCAAAGAATGAATTTTTATATATAAAAGATGATTCTTGATAAAATATCTTGATAAAAATCCAAAAGAATTTAAGAATTATCAAAATATTTAAGAGTGAAAATTCATCCATTCTTGAATAAATAATTTATAAATATAAATATTCCATATATATTAAGAATTTGAATTTATAAAAAATAAAATAAATGGTCCATCTATTAGAATATATGCCATTTATATTCATCTCCTGCTATATATCAGAATTCTTGATAAAATCCAAAAAAGATTCTGCAAAAATCCAAAGAGGAAAGAATCTATCTTACATATTTATAAGTCTACCATTCATCCATCCATTAGAATATTGAATATTAAAAACATATGGTCTGGTGCTCCTGCTATATATTTAGAGATTCTTGAAAAAAAAAAAGAGGAATCTGCAATTTTTCT